AACTAGTTAATGAAACGAAAAAGTGCGCTAATTTTTCGGAAGAATTAAATTGAACCACATTTTACTCTTCACTACCTTCATTTCTTCTTTCTTCCGTTCCAATCTTTTGTAAATCAATTTACAGATATTAATCCATAAGCATCAGGTAAGCCATTTTTACAGTTTTCACACATCAATGAAATTCAATTGACTGTTGTAGAGTGGATTATTCATTAAAATTATGCAAAAATCAATTTTATACTAAACTAGATTCACAGTTTTTCCCAAACATTGCTTAATTCTCTTTATTTTCACGGAAATACTAAAAATCGACTATCACTATTGTGGTTCATCCTACCTACAACTAACCACATTACATTATATTACTTTCATTTCAACTTAAAATATTGATTGTGTAAACAATAAAATTTGATTTGTATATAGTCTTTTCAACTGGTCTTCGTAGTAAGAGAAGCGAAAATACATAAGGAAGTTTTATTACAGCTAAATTTCATGTCTATTCATGAAGCGGTCAAAATACAGACAGAGCTATGAGAAAGTGCTTATGGATGATGTTTCTAATCTTATGTTATAGACTGGGACGAAAAGTATTGTAACGTCGAGATAATAAAACAACACATTGTATTCTATTCTCTAAATGTTAAAATAACTCACATCCAACACTTAAATAATAAACCAATGAATTATGTAAACAAGAACTATGACATATACTGAGCGGTAACTAAGTTCCTGGTCGACTAATTTCATTTCCTCAAGTAAGCTTATCTTTTACAGCCGAAGAAATTATAGTGAAATAAAGAAATATAATTTGTATTGTTTTAAGTACTAACTGACTTGTAAGTAGTATAATATTATAAACAAAGTTTCACAACCTCAATCTAATCATCACAAGAATTTACTAAAAATAAATTTTTGATGTCATAAGTCACATACTATTGATATTAAATGAATCTTAAGCTTAAGCTCGATCGAAAACCACTGTAGAATTCCTGAGGATTTGCTTTTGAAGAAACCTGCTCCATGCAAATGACAAATACAAATACCACCAAAACGAATGACAATAAAGAGGTAATCAATTCGATTATAAATTAAACAGTAATGGATTAAATGAAGGCAATTAATTTATGTATTTAATCACAATATATTACTTTTCTATATTCAATGTCAGAAAATAAAAATAACAGCATGACATCAATAATTAATGAAACCTTATTATTCATTAAAGCTACCAACCTTCAATCAAGAAACACTCAGGTTGGTTAAATAAACTGATAGCAAATGGAGAACAGTCCTAGCAGACAGCTTACACTGAAAGGAACTAATTTGTTTCCAGACAACAGCGAGTAGGCTTCTAATTATTTCAATCGAATAATAAGTTATTCAGTACAATTACTTGGTTTTATTAAGTGTTTAAAGTGTATGAGTATTTTAGACATAGTGAATCAACTAGTTACAAGATTAAAGCTTTTAACCAATGGTTCAGCATTATATGACACGTGTTATAAAAATGCTGAAGTTTCTAAATGCTTTTGAATAACAGGTTTCTATGAATACTAATGAGAAAATCTGAAACACTTTTCTGACTTTACCTGATATAATTTGATATGTTAAATTTTATTTTGTATTCGATCAGCTTTCTAGTGTGTTTTGGCAGAGTTGATGACTTAATAAATCTGAATGACAAAATGTCATCGATCACATGTCGAAACCTAAATAACATCAAGCAGTTATTATACTTCACTCCAAACCACAAATCTTAGTAGAAACTTGTTAATGTGGTCGACACCAGTAGCTGATTTTTTTCGTCACGCTGTCATAACAATCTACATAGAATATTATCGTAAAGAAACAGCATGATGGTAGAGTCAGTTCAAAATGGAACGACAGAAGTTGAAACTTCATATCAAGTCAATATTAATAGAGTAATAAATAAATCAGCATATATTCCAGTTGATAAAATAAACAACCAATACTAATCTCATTATGTTTTTAAATCAACTGTGATTTGTTCTTTTGTATGCTACGGAAATCAATAAGGTGTTTTGTCATAAGTATAAATAATGTTTTAAAAAAAGCTTCTGTTTAGTTAGTCAGAACGTTCTTGCTTGTTTGATTACTTAATTTCAATAGTTTAGAAAGCTGGAATAGTCACCAAACCACAATTACAAATTAATGTAAAAATGTATGTCATTACTACAAATAATACGGTAAGTGATATTTACTTGTGAAATTTTTTGTAAAGAAAGAAATTATTTACCTTGAAAATATTATCTATTGACTTTTAAAAGTAAATTTTGCCGGAAGAAACTTTGTCAACATAAAATCCAAATAGTGGTTTGACAGAAAACAGTTGAATGATATACAGATAGTTTGGGAAATAAAGATTGAAGTTGTA